CCATGATGTCATGTAAATGAAACATTTTCTACATATAGGTCAAATTAATCACTGCAGTCAAGTGAAAGTAGTCAAACTGAATTTTTAATAAACCAAAATACAGTTTCAAAGCAAATTAATTCAGATACAAAACTTTAAATTCAGTTTCGATTTAGTAAAATTTATTTTCAAACCAATGCGTTCAGTTTCAGTTCCTGTTGGCWCAGGTTTTATCCCACAGAGCCGAGCTGAGCCAAGCTCACAGAGGAAATACAGTCAAGCTTTTATCAAAACTCTCAGAAGATTTGGCACGAAGATAGAGAGTCTTTTTAAAAACAGAGCTGAGAGCAAAACGTAAAGGAGATTTTAAGAGATAAAGCGTCCCCAGGAGAGCCTCTGATTTCAGCCCCGTCTCTTAAATAAGGACAAATGTCTGGAGTCAGGAGCTGGGAGRCCAGGCTCTGGTTTCAGCTGGAGCTGCCGGCCTGATATCATAATTATGATACCTAAGCAACCACATCCTGTCAATCCAGGCGAACGTGGGAAGAGCTGCATGAAAAATAACTGGCCKCTCTGAAAGGCAGCAGTCAGGTGGTCTTACAGGAGGGAGAAGGTGCATCCACTCGCTGCAGATCTGTGGGAACTGTTGGKTTTTTTTCCTCCTAAAAGCACACGCTCTGCAGAGGAAGGCTGCGGAGGATGAATGAGCGCAGGAAGTGCTCGCTCACTAAGCCTGGTGTGTGGCCAAGAGTGAGGACGGACCACAAAGCCCCCCTTTGTACCGCAGCTCTCCTCTCTGTGGGGGCTGCGCTAATCTGCCGTTAATAAAGAAGAAAAGAAGAAATCACCGAGCCACGAGCTGTGAGAAGGTGCAGAGCCCAGGTGGACTCACAGCACCTGCCTCGGCTTTGTTTACAGGTAAACAAGGTGTCAACAAGCAGCAGTACCCGCGTGAAGTTTCCCTCGAAGCTGTGGATGTCCAGCTGAGGCCTCTGGGCGTAGACGTAGGCGCTGATGGAGAACAGGTCCTGAGACGAGAAAACAGCTGTTTAACCAGCTGAACAGCTGGATCCTGACGAGTCCAGCTGTTCCTGTCTCTGCAGGTTCAGATCCTSATGGTTAAAGCTAACAGAGCTCCTGCAGTTTAACACTTTTTAATGACTAATTAAACTTAAGACCAGTTTCACAATAAACACAAATGACAAAAAAAATTAAAACGGTGGCAGAAACTCATGAATCAAAGTATTTTTTGGTTGAATTATTCAAATATTGCTAATAGATCAATTGTTTTATCCAAATCTAACTATAGCAGAAACATTCTTAGCTGTCAGTTTTAAACTTAATTTAATTCCTGGAACTTCTCTAATGACCCAAAATTTGTAGTTTTATGACCCAAAGTGGGGTCTGAACCCCAGCTTGCTGTAGATGAAACCTTAAAGTGCCTGTGATGTAAAATGTTTGTAAGAAATATGAACACATTATTGGAAAGACAACATATTATAAAACAAAAGTCACATTGCTCAGATGTACAGATGAGATATTTGCCTGTGAAATAACAGGAAGTGATGTCAAAGGGGAACATCTGAATGGGAATTTTTGAAAAATAAATAAGTTTTACCAATTATTTTAATATTTGATATGAATTACAGTCATCGTACGTACAATGTGTTAACATTTTTAAGACTTCTGAAAGATTGATTTAAGACCTTTTAAGGCTAATTAAAGTCTTATTTTTGGATCGATGAATTTAAAGYCTTTTAAGGATCTGCAGGAAGCCTGGTTAAAGTCTGCGTACCCCGACCGCCGGCAGCCTCTGTGTGCAGCCGACGGCTACTTTCAGCTTCCAGTCCGTTTCTCCGTCCAGCTGATCCGTCCTGATGAAGCACGAGCCTGAAGAACAGATTAAAAACAAACATTTTTATCCTCAAACGCYGAAGAGCATCGTGTTTTTACTTGTTTGTTAGTAAAATATCTCCTKAAGTGGACGGATAATAAATAACAACAAAAGAAGTTTTACAGATTCTCAAACTAACGACTAATTCAGGGCATCTGCAGGTTTTAGCAAGTCAAATTTAAGACTTTTTAACACTTTTTAATACCATCTTGAATGAAATTTAAGACTAAAAATACAAGCGATGGTTCTGCAGAGACGGCCGAGCGACACGAAGAACTTTAATCGYTCCTGCCCGACAAAACTTAAGATCTTTGAGTAAAAAATTTGAGACCAACTTGCACATTTTTTAACAAATTTAAAACTGTTTAAGGTCTTTGTAATGGAACTAATACTTTTATCGAAAAGGACCTCACAATCCACGTATTTCTGTCTTTGTTAAATAAATATTGCCATAACAATCTTAATTTTAGATTTGTGAATTTAAGACTTTAAGACTTTTTAAGGACTTGTGAACACCCTGTAATTTGGGTCCAGATCTGGACTGCGAACCACCGTTTGAGAAGCTCTGGTCTAAACATCTGCAGGAATATTTAAATGGTGAAAATAAGATATTATTTTTATTTCCAGCAGCCTGCGGATAAATCAGCTGATGGATGACGCCGACTGACAGGAAGTGGAGAGGACGACCTCAAACTCTCTGCGAGGGTAAAGTGTAGGGCTGCAGCTAAACATTATTTAAGACTAAAATAATCGTTAGCTGCAGCTTTATTAGAGAAATTAATCGATTACTAAAATTTTTAGTAATCCATTAATCTCTCCATTATTCTATTAATCAGATTAAAAAATTCCCATCTTCTGCAGTCGTTACTTAAGCTTATTTTATGACAAACACAGCTGTGAAGGAGTAATCTACACCTGCAGGTGGTCTCTCTGATCAGTCAGAAAGGGAATGTGAACGATACCTGTTGTTAACTCCGGACAGCTGATGCATCAGCGGTTTTTGTTCCGGCGCAGAAACGTCGAGGACGTGCAGAGCATCGCTCTACTTTTAAATTATCACACACTTTTCACAATTTCTGCAGTTTTCTGAGCGCCTCGTTTCAGGAGTCTTCATCTCCTTCCATTGCTAAAAACAGCACTTAGCATACACGAGTCAACAGCGTAACCGCTAGCAGAAGCGCTAACGTTGTAGCGTCGTGTAACACAAATAACATTCCTGCCAGAAAAAGTGAGCTGATTTTAACAGGACCTGTTGTTTATGAAGCTTCGAGGCATTTTTAGTCATCAGATTACTAGAATTATTCGAGGAATCGTTTGATTGAAAACATCAGCGCTGCAGGCGGAGAACCAGAGGAARCTGTTGGACACAAAGACGGCCACGTCTCTGTCCACATTCTGGACGCCTCGACCTCTGAGCGGCTCCTCGTTAAAGAGCGGGAGAAACGGGTCGGATGGCAGGATTTAATCTGTCCAAGTCCAGATTTAATCTGTCCAAGTCCAGATTTAATCTGTCCAAGTCCAGATTTAATCTGTCCAAGTCCAGATTTAATCTGTCCAAGTCCAGATGCAGCTGCTCAGTTCCTCACCGGTTTTCTCAGACGTCCTCAGGAAGACCATGTCTGCAGGAATCCTCTGGTTCTACAGAAACAGAGAGCGGGCTTTCATGAGCCTTAAAGGGTCTGTGTCGTCAAATTTTTGTTACACAAATTAATGCATTTTTAGAAAGAGGACACTGATCAAATATTGCAAAATAAATTTCATGTTGCTGAGATGAACAGTTGTTGAGATATTTGAATGTAAAGTAACAGGAAGTGATGTCACAGGRGAATGTTTACATGTGAACAGAGCAGTGCTAACAGCTAACACAGCCTGTAGAGAAGAATCTGATGTTTCTGTAGATTAATTTGAGTCTCTATCAGAGAGATGAAGAAGAGATCAAATAATATTGTTTCAATAAACAAAGACCAGAGTTTTCTTTGTTAAAGAGTTCCCCTATGATGTCACTTCCTGTTTCACTTTGGCTGAGCCAACTTCAAAAGAAAATATGCCAGTTATGGGACAAAATGGGTAAAAATGTGTGTATTATTCCAACTTTCTTAAATATAAGGTTGTTTTCTTTGACTTTTTGTATGTCACAGACATTTTAAATAAAACAGCAGAATACAAACAAACAACTTCAAATCTTTAAACTCAGAAACAAAATTACCTTTTCAACAATAATCAGATCTCCAACCTGGATATCTGAACTTTTCACTTGAATTTTACCTGCAGAAAAACAAAAAGGTAAAAAGAAAAATGATCAAATAAAAAAACTTTTTTTGATTTTTTTCTTTTCCAACATGATCAAGTTAAACATAAACAAGCGCTGCTCTACGACGAATAGAAGAATAAAAATACGCTCTTATTTTGAAAAGTCACAGATTTAAGAGAGGGACACAGAGAGGACATGTCTGTCTCACCTCGGACTGTGAGTTTGCTGTAGAGCTGAGAGTTCATCTCTTTGTCCCGCTGATGGCGTCTCACTTCGTCCACGGCCTCCCTCRCCATGGTGACGGCCAAAACAAAACCCTGAGACACCAGAGTTTAGTTTAGTTTCTAAAATTAATTTAAAGCCTGAGTGAGGCAGGTCACAGTAAACACTGCAGTACCAGAGGGGCCCAGTACGTGTACAGGTATCCGATCTTCAGCGACGGGACGAACTGGGAGCAGGCCACCACCAGGAAGTACAGGTTGAGGAAGAACTTGAACTGCTGGTAGAGAACCTGAGAGGAAACAAGAAAACCTGAAGTCAATCAGAAGCTGTTTAAAGACGTCGCAGTAACAGTTGGTCTCTAAAACAGCAGAGATAAAATCTGATGGGTTTTGGTTTTTTTGGGACAAGAAGGATTCTCAGAAGACTTCACTCCCACTGAAGCAGCGCCGCTCTTTGCTAATAGACTTTCAATCAACAGGAAGACGTTAGAAATCTCTTAATCTAAGGTCAAATTTTGAGTAATGTTTGYAATAATGAGAGTCTGGAGTCTAGTTAAAGATTATCAGCGACAGCGGGATCAACGGGCGGGGCTCTGCTCTTAATGGACCTCCTGACCTTTAGGGGGACATGCATCCTGCTAAACTCAATTTGTGTGTGTTTAATAATTCAGGGCGGAGGGAGAACAACGCAGCCGTTTGGYTCGGGCGTGGACGGGAACACCCGCTCCTCTAACGGACAGCTGGCATTTAACGAGCCGAGAACACGGCGCCTCCATTTACACCGTTTTTACTTTTTAATCAGTAACTGATGAAGCTGTAGAGTCTCCAGCAGAGGAAACCTGGAGCCTAAAGACCTGCAGCAGGCAGGGCAACAGGTGCAGGAGTACGGCACGGTATGAGGGACAAACTTAAGACTATTGCTCAACCAGTGGTTGGCGCTGTCCCTGTCATTAGCCTCTCTGATGCTAACACCAACTTATAAATGCTAGTCCCTAGCATCTCTAATGCTAACACCAGCTTATCCATGCAAGCTGCTAGCCTCTTCAATGCTAACACCAGTTTAATGCTAGTTTCTAGCCTCTCTGATGCTAACACCAGCTTATCCATGTTAGACGCTAACCTCTCTGATGCTAACACCAGCTTATCCATGCTAGTCACTAGCCTCTCTGATGCTAACACCAGCTTATCCATGTTAGTCGCTAACCTCTCTGATGCTAACACTAGCTTATCCATGCTAGTCACTAGCCTCTCTGATGCTAACACCAGCTTATCCATGTTAGTCGCTAACCTCTCTGATGCTAACACTAGCTTATCCATGCTAGTCACTAGCCTCTCCAATGCTAACACCAGCTTATCCATGCTAGTCACTAGCCTCTCTGATGCTAACACCAGCTTATCCATGTTAGTCGCTAACCTCTCTGATGCTAACACTAGCTTATC